CGTGGAGCAGAATAATCCCGAGACTAGAAAAAATGCTAAATGCAACGGTGCATTCAAGCACGGGATTCGCGCCAGATCAGTTGCACAAGGACGGAATCATTCAAGCGGGGCTGGACTCGACGTTGCTGTCGGACCAAAGACCAGAGGACGACAGACAGGAGAGAATCGAAAAGGCGAGAATAAAGTTGAGATTAGCTGCCGAGAAAAGGAGGCGACAGTTCGACAAGACGACCACGGCTAAACCGTACCAGGAAGGCGATCGAGTGTGGTGCAAGGTTCACCGACGATCGGAAAAAAGGAAGCAATGGTCGAAGAAGCTGCAGGCGATATACGAGGGGCCCTACCGGATAAGCCGGATACCCAAGCCGAACGCGTACGAGGTAGTCGACGACGAAGGACAATGGATGGGAGTATACAACTCGAGGCGATTGAGGCCACATCGAGCGGAGAACGTAGAAGAAGAGGAGGTAGTGGGCCAAGCCGGCATCAATATGATGCGAATAACCGGCGACGGTAGAGAAGAGAAGAGGGGAGGCCCGACGGGCCAGGCGGACAAGGAGAACCGAGAACCAAGGGGGTTAACGGACAAAAAGACTCGGAACAGAAGAGGTCAAACGAAGGACCAGAGTGGCCGAGCAAGCAATAAGGAGATCGCCAAGGCGAGACAAAAGCAAGACAAGGGAAAAAAGGAAGGAGGAGCAGAGCTGGGGAATAAGCAAAACCCAGGAGACATTTTCGGAAATGCAGTAATGTGGAAGAGATGGAGAGAGATCACGGAGGGACCCAGGCGAAGGCAGCAAGAGGCAATGGGAACGAGAAAGGAAGACACAGAGGCTAAAGCCGAAGTTTTGGCACGCACGAGCAAACCCGAGGAAACACCAGGACAAGCGACGCGAGGAATACCAGAGACGAGGAAAAACGAGAACACGCTCAGAATCCCAGTTTCCGTAAGGATGGTGAAGATGCTAGAAGTCCCGAGGAAAAAATTCGAAAAGCGGATCGACGGGGACAGCACCCGGGAGGACGAAGAGCAACCGGGGAAGCAAATCGAGCGCGATATCAAGAGGTTCGAAGAAATCTTAAAGGAGAATATAAGGGAGGCAGAAGAAAGGCTACGAAAAGAGATCGAGAGGGGTGAGCAAGAGGCCGAACCAAAAGAAGGATCGCGGAGGCAGGACGATCAGACGAGAAGTCAAAAGGGGAGGTGCTACACCATCGAAGAGAGAGAAAAGAGTAAAGGAAAGAGGAGCCGGAACAAATGGAAGACGCTGATAAAGCAACGCGAGCTAGTAAGCGCAACAAAATACGGAAAACGCAAGCGAGCGATATCAAGTGACGAAGAAGCCGGAAAGGTTGAAGAAAAGACGAGTAAGGGAAGACCAACGGGCGTTGACCTGACAATAGAGAAGGTGCCGGACAGCGAGCACGAAGACAAGGTCAGTAAGGAAAAGGAATCATTTGAAATAAACCGCGAAAGACTTTCCAAGAAAACCAGTGACGAGGAAGAAGCAACGACTTTCGAAAATTTAGGCAGTGAAGCGGAATTAACGACTTCCGAGAACCGGAGAAATGAAGACGAGCGAGACGATACCCGGAAGAGAAGAGTCGAGCGACAGAACAATGGGCAAGCCGCAACGCACGAGGAAATCACGGGGCGACACGTGAGAAACAATGGGCCAGAGCTCGATACAAACGTGATCATACCCATCGAAACGATGACAAGGGGAAAAGCGAGGCTGTCAGTCGCAAACGATCCAGTAAGCAAGGCAGAGCGAAATAACGCAAAGCAACGCAAGCCAGAAATCGAAAGCGATAAGGAAAGTGAGCAGATAGTTGACGAAAGGAAGCAGACGAGTGTCGGGAAGAGAATGGAGTAGAGCAGATTACGGGAAAGAGAGATTGAGGTGGCGCGCGAACTCGAAGAGTTCACACGCCGAGCGGTGGAGAGAAGAGCACGAGAGGCGCGGCTAAGGCAGGCGGAGGCGCTGCTGGAAACGCTGCGTGCGGAGGAATCACCACGGACAGTGACGGAGAACAACGGAGGAGGCGCCGGACAGCGCCTGAAGCGGGCCATAGCGGAATGGAACGTGGCCGCGGGAAGGCAAAGGAGCTCTAC